TTGAATGTATTTTAATATTGTTATTTTTAATTAGTTTAGATTTACTCTTATTGTTTTTCTGTTATGCATATATTCAGTATAGAATAATGTCATACTTCTTCAATATTTCGTTTGGACCTGGCAATTATGGCTGTAATAAATTTGATTTGCTTTGATATAAATAATCTTAATAATCTGCTCCTTAATTGCAATATTTAAGTTCTGGCTGAGTTTTTCCCTTTCAGTATTGCTATTCAGGTTATAGCAGGAGTGAGTTATAGCAGGAGTGAGATTTACTTTTAACTGAAGGATATGTTGTAATTTCCATTTATTTACGTACATCCTGTATCAGTTAGTTCTTATACTATGAAGATTAAATGACAGGCAAAAAAGAATGTTAGGAGTTTGCAGTTAATAGATAATGGATTAAATCTGGCCGCCTCCAAGGCCTTTACTATAATCACATTTTTCCCCTGTCTATTAATCCTTCTCTTTTTCATTCATTCTTTAAGTGTGTCAATCATCTCACAGAAAGTGACTCTGGGTGGGTGTACAATAATAAAATATATTATAAAGTCACTAAAACACTTAAATAAATAAACATAAATAAAAACATGTACATGAGAGGATTGAAACTAGAATGTTATACATGGTGCAACCAATGTGTGAGCTTCCTGTTGCCAAACCTGATGAAAAAAATCCATTTTGAGAGCTTACTGAAAGTCAAAACCAGCAAGCTAGATGTATACCTCAAAGCAAACTGGTAACTAGTGAAGCTCCAAGAGCAGAGGTGTGACACTCCTGAGCCCCCCATAGTTGGCCGTAAGTAAAAGACTACCTATAGTCGATTCAAGAGGCAGGGTCTAAATTACTGTAAATTACTTCTTAATAATTTATTTAGTTTTCAATAATATAATTTTAAATTGGTTTTAATAAAAGTAGCTTTTATTAAAAAAAACATTAAACCAACCTAAAAAATCCTACATATTTCATATGGTCTGAAACCCTGAAGTGGAAAGGAGAAATAGAAAAGTCATTACATGTACAAAATGCAAGCTCTCTAAAGAAGGGGGATAGAAAACCAAAATGAATGCAACAGATATCTTTTTCTTGTCAAGAAGTCTAAGCCAAAACTAAATGAATCTGATGATATCAGATGAAAGTTTTCAAGTAGTTTGCTCTTATTTCGAATAAATTACTTAGGCTAATAGTCAAAGCCCAAGATTAAAATAGAACTTACTGGTTCTTTTTGTTCCTAAGCAGCATTGTAAATTGTAACTTATTCCAAGTACCTAGTAAAGAAACTGAAATAAAATAAGCCCCAACTTCTTTTGACTATTTAACAAGAAGCTTTTAGGATGAAACTAGCATCTTGATTGTCTACTGTTGTTTACTGTAGTTTAACAAAAATTGGTCAGCAGCAGTACCTGGGAATAGGAACTTTATTCCATAATGGAAACAGGATACAGAATAGGTATTGGAGGATCTTCTTGTGTTTAAAATTGTAAAAGGACTGTATAATTACAGTACATCTCACAGGGTTTCTGAAAAATCCTTTGTAATTAGCAGCCATACACCATAATATAACAATTCTTCAGAGGATTGGGAAATTTTTTTCATTAGATCAATGGTGGGTTGCAGGCGGTACGCCCTGGTACGGGTGTACCAGCACCGGGTCAGAGCACCAGGCCTGCCCGCCCACACTCCTTACCTGTCTTTAAACTCTTAGGCGCTTTCACACACACACGCGGCACGTACAGCGCCTGTGTAACGCTACGCCAAGCAGCTGGAATGTCGTAGAGGTGTTGCTGGAGGGTAAGATGCATGTGCACACTGTGTGTGTGCACACTGCACGCGTTCATGTGGATGACGCCAGGCCCGTTCCAACCATACCCGTTGGAAAGGGATCTGGAACCCATCACTGTATTAGATATAAATGTACTCTCAGACACTAAAAGTGGGGGAAAGTCAATTGAACTGTTTTCATGTAGTGCTTATTAAAAGAAGTGGATCAGTATTAAAATATGATCAGCAGCTATTTTAAAATCCTTGTAGCTACCTTTTAGTGGAATAAAAAAGGATAAGAAATACAGTATTTTAATATTTAATACAAATATTAAATATAAATTGTTAAATATTTCTATTAAGTCTATTTTATATTTGAAACATTGATTTCAGAAAAGTTCTCTGAGCTTAACTCAAGGATATGTCAACGGAGTCAAACATAGAAAGTAGACTGGCTCTGCTACCAGATATGTGTAAAAGCTGCATTGGACATAAAGGGATTTCACATTTATTATGTGGGTGGAATGATGTCACTTGGTTTGATTATGCCCCTTTCAAACTGCTGTGATAATTACCTGCTTGTTACCAGAAGTGGTGAACCCGTTTTCAGTACTTGTTTGCTTTTGCTGTCATGCCCTAATTGCTATATAATTTTGCCCCTGCCAATTATAACCATTATGTAAAATTTTACAGCGAGGAAGTAGAAAAATAGGGGGGGGGGGTGGATCAGTGTGGTCTTCATAATTTTGACTGAATATTTTCATATTATCTCTGAGGTACAGGACTTGGTTGTAACTTTTGGGCAGTATCTTCTTCCTTCTCATATGCATACAAATTTCTTTACTTCACTTTTCTCTGAATCAAGATTGATTTTTAAGTTTACAGGAAAAATTAAGTTCAGTCTATTGATTTGATTCTTAAAATAGCAATATTTACCTGAGCTTGAATAATGTTCACAACAATAATAGCGTAATATTCTCTTATGATTTCATTATCTTTCATGATTGCAAAAAACTTGCAATTGATCTGGAACTACCTACTGGTATTGCACAAGTTTCTCTACTGCTTAAAAGAAGAAAAACATATTTACATTAGAACCTGTGCTCAGACCGTGAAGCAAGCATCACATCTACCTTGGTAAATTGTACTGAACGCAGTGGATCTTACTTCGAAGTCCTCAAGACTCTTTTATAAGAGTGCTGCATAATTTTTTTTTTCAAAAACATACAAATGTTAGCTGCAGATTATGTAATAAAAATTTTTCTCTGAACAAAGCTAGTAAGATAGAGGAGAAAAAAAATTACATATAAAAGGTCACATCAGAACCATAAAGCATGTGCAAATAGACCGTGATAGTTTAATTTTGTTCTCAATAAATTGATAGAAGCCTTATGAAACATATTTCAATATGCTGGTATAAAACTGTACAATATTTATATACTGTACTGCATAAGCTTTAAATATTTGTGTTATTTTCTCCCCAAATAGCATTTTACATGTCATGTAGATTTAGTATTATGGATTCTTAGAAGAGACTGAAAACAAATAGTCACTTTAATAGCATCATTTTCTAAATCTAAAAGCCTATAGACGATAGAGAAATCCAAACTCTTATTCATTTGTAATTTTAAATGCAACAAAAGGGAACATTCATTAAATATTTTCCTAGAGAAATAAAATTAATTAAACTTTACTTAAAATTAAAAGCAAATTAAATTCAAATTAAGTTTTTTTCATTCCTATCCTCTGGAGTATGTTTCATATATGATACTGCAGTCATATTGGGAGCACTAAAGTGCTTCTGGGCTGAAAGAATTAGCTGATGACATCATTATTGCCCAAGGGATGCCCAGTTGAGGGCTCCTTTCATATCTCCTTAAACTGCCCACTGAAGTGGTACCCATCTATCTACTTGCAGTCACATGCTTTTGATTTGCTGGTTCAAAAGGAGCTGGAGCAAGTGACGGGAGCTTATCCCCTCCCATGGCAAGAACCAGTAATCAGCCCAGCATCCCAACCACGTGAGTCACTGCGCTCCACTAACAATACATGATACAAACTAAATAAAAAGTTGTGAAATTTAAAAAGAAGGGAACTATAGTGAGAAATGTGCATTTGCACTTTGATATTAAGATGATACTAATTCACTAAAACGTTTTTTGCCATGTTTACTGGACCTCTCAGAATATTTTTAAAAGGTTGGCTGTTAAATACATTATGTCAAAGGAACTTACTTGGCTTAAATAATAGAATGCATATCTGTGTGTCTTTTCTGTATTTGCCCTTTTGATTTTGAAGTTTTCCCCACCACTTTTCTTACAGTCTCCAGTATTTTTTTATTTTATTTGTTAATCAAATTTATATACAGTAGCTGCACCTCTCTGAGAAGTGACTGGGTGTTGTGCTATTGCTGGATTAAACTTGGTATTGTTAATAATTAACCCAAAGACTTTATATTCTATTCATCAAGTACAATTGTTACAGTCTTATTTTGAAGTTTAAAATATGGCCAAGATCCAAAGATAATGCTTAGTTTAGATCACAGTTTTGTTTGGAATGGAGAGATCTGTAAAAAAAATCTACTCATTACTGTTTAAAGTGGGGGGGGATCCCTCTTTAGGATCAAGATTCTTTTAGTAAAGTACAGGTAGACTTCCATTTACAATCGTTCATTTAGTAACTGTTCATAGCCACACTGAAAAAGGTGACTTAGGGTTGTTTTTCATACTTACGACCATTGTAGCATCCCCATGGTCATGTAATAAAAATTCAGACACTTGGCAAGTGACTCATATTTATGAATGTTGCAATGTCCTGGGGTCATGTGATCCCATTTTGAGACCTTTTAACAAGCAAAGTCAATGAAGAAGTAACCATAACAACCATATTACTAACATAACAACTGCATCACTTAACATCTATGGCAAGAAAGATTGCAAAATGGAGCAAAATCCACTTGACAACGGTCTCACTTAGCAACAGAAATTTTGGGCTTGGTTATGGTTGTATGTCAAGAATGACCTGTAGTTTATTTGCCTCTGATGTTACATTAGGAGCAGATAGAAAATGCACATCTTGATATTTCTCCGTATTGTACATTTCACCCATTAATATTGTAAGACTTAATGTTTCATGTTCAAGAAAGAAAATTTAGTACTGTAACAAGCAAAATAATTTCCTTGCTAATTTGGAGCCTTTTTCCTAATGTCATGAATTGTGTTTTTCTTTCCTCTCAGGCCTCGAAATAGAGGAAAACCTACGGTGGAGGATGAAGACAGCATGGATGGATTGGAGGCAACAGAAACGGAAAACACTGTGGAAGTTGGTAAGGCAAATAGACTAGGATTGAAATAGATAGATTTAGCAAGTGTCTAAACTGAATTTACACATTGGAATAGGCTAAAATAATAGTAGGGCCATAGCATTTTAGTTTTAGTCCCAAAAGGGAACTTTAGAGCAGGGGTCCCCAACCTTTTGGCCTCAGGGACCACTTAATTCATAATTTTAAATCCCACGGATCACTAATATGATCTGCCTAATGACTGGCTGGGTGGGCATGGCCAACTTGATGTCACTCATGTTGAGGGGAGCCTCGCTGGCCTCTACTTGTCCCTCCCTCTGACTCTTTGCCACAGCAGTGCTTCCCTCCAGCCTTTGCCCAAAGCCCACACTTGGAGGCTGAAGCAGATCCAAGTTGGAATTTCTGTCCCCCCCTCCGACCCCACAAAAAGACACCGAAGGGGGAGATTCTCTGCAGCAACACAAATGTTCATTGCACGTAGTTCATTGCTCCTTCTGAACCAGACCCCTGATTTAGTGCAATATAAAAAAATGCTAATAATTTTTCTGCAGACCACCAAAATTTTCTCATGGACCACCAGTGGTCCGGGGACCACCAGTTAGTGACCGCTGCTTTAGAGTATGCTGGGCCAGAAACATTAAATCTGTTGGCAATTCTTAAAGCAGCCATATGATAGCATGGGGTAACTGCACTTTGAAGTACAATTTTGGAATTGAATAGAGCTGGAATTGGGAGTGCTTGTAAGTGCTGCCAATCCTATTAAACAACTTTGGTTCAGTGTGTTGTGTGTGAACCTAGCAATTCTATTCCAAAGGTGCTTTTTCCAAAAGGCAACAATTTTCTTGGTTTTACCCTTTGAAACCTTTCGCTTCTCATCTGAAAAGCTTCTTCAGTCCAAACTGACTAGTGGGGAATAAAATGGTTTATATTCTCTGCAATCATCCGGTTGTTAGCACTCTGAGAATCATTGAGGCCACTTGAGGGTTTTTCTGCAACTTCAGAGTTGTCTGAATCCGAGTATCTTCCCCTTCTGTTGTGGGAGGGGTGTTCAATTTTGACATAAATGGCCTCATCGATTCCTCTTTCAAACCAGTCTTACTCTGTTCAGAATGTAAATTTCTTCAAAAGAGTGACAGTTGTCTTTCAAATGCAGATGGTTCCTGAATCCTGTCCTGATGAGTTTGTTCGCTTATGTTGTGCCATGCATTTGTAACTCTTTTTGTTGTATGAATTAGGACATGGTGTCAAACTATAGTTCATTTATTTGACTATAGGCAATCCTCGAGATATGACCTTAATGGTGCCTGCCTATTACAGTCACATGTCACTATAGCAATAGCAATAGCAGTAGACTTATATACTGCTTCATAGGCCTTTCAGGCCTCTCTAAGCGGTTTACAGAGAGTCAGCATATTGCCCCCAA